AAACCGCCATGGATTCCTACGTCCTACAATTCATATTTTTTCTGATAAGTCGACGAGGTGTCCTCGATATTGCGAAGACTTTCCACCAAGAGTCTCTGTCGCGGTAACCATCGAGTTCGAAAATGGAAAGGGAGAGTCGTTGCCGTTGACATGTATGGCTGTGAGAAGAATGATGAGGCAGAGCCACCGCCTGACTCGTCGAACGCAGGTGCAGTCGTGAATGGTGAAATCGGGTTTGGATTTAATAGGACAAAGCCGTAGATTGCGGATCTATTAGATGAGAGTTCAAATCTTTCTAAGCATATTTTTTAGAGTATGGTTCATTTTACATATATACTGTAGTCAGTTCCACATACATTTCGAGTAAATTCGACACCTGACCTGGGGTGACCGCCCAAAGGCGACAGCATCTCTGCACGCAATGCCATTCCGCGGATGAAGCACTCGCTGAGATGGTGTTGATGGTGTACACCCATCTTTGAAGCCATCAGCATCTTGTTGTCTAGGTGATATTATGCACATTTCCCCACTCGCATGCACAACTCTACAAAAAGCACGGGCAAGTCATATATTCCCAACAAGCCACGTTGCAGCTTTACCAGCGCTTTCCATGCGACTATGGAGCGAGCGGCACTAGGACGCAACTGTGCGAGTCGTGTGTAACAGTGCGTACGCGAAATAAGCATATCCGCACTTTGAAATCTTCAGTGTATCGCGATGAATGTCAGATAAAAAGTACACAAAGACTTCAGAGATTGTTTCCCATGAAGGGTATACCTCCAAGAGCAATTAATGCAGTACAATACAGCAGGTGAGCTCGAATTTGCTAGCATATTGGAGAATGGTTTAATTGACCCAGTCTGAGGCATCGGAAATATATATATGCGCTTGGGGTATTCTAGCCCGCCATACTCCTGCATACAGTGTCACGCCATCACATCACGGGTAAATATCTCGCTCGGTTCGGGCCACCAATCCCCTCGCCTTGCGTGCATCAAGTGGGCTGCGTAATACTTGGGTTGGCGTTTTGCATGGCCTTGACTGTGTTACCTCGGCAACCGACAATCGGTTACGGACAGTTTCGTCGGTTACACCGATTCCATGCACCGAAGAGTAAAAACAGAAATGGCGTCGACAATCTTGAGTCACTGGGCCGGCGGGCAATGCTCCCTTGCATACAAGTTTGTGGGTGGTGTGAAGTTCATGTTGGGGCTCGCGTGCGTCTTCCTCCTTTGCGTCGACATGCTCTGCAACAACTGGGAAGTCATCGACTACGTCGGCAACGCCAAGCACCTGCTCACGCCACTCTTGACCATCCCCACCACGTCCAAATTGATCCATCAGTTTGCCTTTCCACGGCACGCGTCGCCGGCGCAGGTGTCCCAAATCGGCCAGTTCATGATCAATACGACATTGGCGCATGTCCAGACGCGCGACAGCCACACATACATCCTCGGAACAACTAAGCACCTGGTCAAGAACAGCGACAACGACATATGCGGTCAGCTCGTGAGCTCGTATCCCGTTCGCAACCCAGCCGCCGCCGCTGTCCAACTCGGTTCCGTCGCCGATTTCATTACGTTTGTCAGGGGAGACGCCCTCACCCATTGGTTTGGCGACACTCAAACGTCCCCAAGAGCAACCACGGGCATGAATGAGACACAGCTTCGGGCGCTGGGCTACATCCCGGCCCGCCATGGTACAGATCTCCGCCTCACAGCCGCTGTCGCCCTGCCACCCTCAGGCCAACCGACGGCTGCCACGGTTGCAATGTATCGCTTTTTCATGCGGACGTTTTGCACGGGTAGCGAACCTGGTACGGAGCTCGGCTTGGACACGTGTGCGATCGAGTATTTGTACAACGATACGACCCAAACGCTGGACGTCACGTCGAGCCAGGCTATTGTGGGGAATTATCATGAGCTCGGATTCATCTTTCAACGGCGAGGGGGGCCCGTCCTTGCTCTGCACGTTCGGCTGGCGACGTTGGTCCTACTCATTGGAGTGTACTCGGCGAGCCAAAAGACTGTGCAGTGGATGGACTTTTCCACGCAATCCATTCCCCAGCGCGTTCTTCGACTCATCGCCCCCCCTTTGCATCGCGAGCCGTGTTCGGTGTTTGGGCTGAGCGACATTTGTTTCAACAGCGACGTGTTTGTCGTGCTATACACGTTGGCCGTCCTGGCCGACGAAGAGATCAGCATGGTGTACTCGCGAAACATGAATCAATGGCATGTCCGTGGTGGCACAGACGTGTGGCTCGACGTGCGGTTGATGTCGATGACGGCGCGATGGCTGTGGGTGAATTGCTTTCTCTTGAAAGCGTTCAAGTGGACGTGCAACTTTGTCAGCATCGCGCAGCACACGGGGGATAGCCAACTCATGGGGTGGCTCAACTTTAGCTCAGTCTCGTGGATGTACCTGAGCGTCGTGAGTCTGCTGGAACGGAACGACTTCATCGAGTACGGGAGCTCCGTGCGCACGGATCTGTCCTCCACGACGCAAAATCTCGACGCCACGTCCGTGTTTCTCTTGCAGAGCTGGTACATTCGGTCGATTCCGTCGCTCGCGGCTGTAATTTTTGCCAACCTCGTGCTCCTCCTCGTGGTCGACCATGTCGTCAATCGAAAGTGGTGGCAGTTTATGGCCGCCAACTCACTCGGCCGCCAACTCGTCTTCAACTCAACCTCTATTCTCGCCAACATCCCGCTTGACCCTGCCGCGCAAGTTCGAGGCGCTGAGTCCGTCACCATGCACGCAAGGGCGCTGTGTACGTTTCGATGGTTTCTCGCTAGTCATTTGACCCGGTTCGGTCTCCCGGAGCCGCCTGCCGCCATCCGCGCGCTCACCGCAGCCCACAACGTTAATCCTGCAACTCGAGTGTTTGCGAGCCAGAAACCCAAGTTCCTCGCAGACGTCGGCAATCTCGACTCGGTCGTGGCCGCACCTCCTCCTCATGTCCCCACTTCGAACCTGTCGATGGTTTTGCAAGACAGCGATGGCAATATCCACCTCGTCAATGCATTCAAGCAAGACATTGCCACGACTGCGATCGAAACCATGATCCAACAAAATACACACGTGACAATGATGTGAGGACATCACGCTTCAAGGGCTTGCAGCCTCGCTTGATTGATCATGCGGCTCGACATGGGGGATGACGCACGCGTGGAGATGGTCAGATCGCTCACTGCCACAGTCGTCCATCCAGCGCTACCAGCGAGCGGATGGGCCGCCTTGCTCGACAAATGCCGTCCACACACGAAATCTCACGCGCCTCCTCTTCGCCCAACGCGAATACCACGTGCCAGGTCAATCGCCTTTTCTGCGTGAATTATTGAATCCGTTGTGGAACGAAATCGTTGGCGCCGCCGAAATATCCTTCATGGGCTCTTTCCATCCTGTGCTGCGCAGCACGTCGATCGACTACGAGTGGCTCACACGCATTCACGTCGTCAAGCAGGTTGCTGCCCGCTGCCGATTCTCCGTGGACGTCTCGCTGTTCTCGCTTTGCTCCTGATGCCGCTTCATGCCATGAACCAGGTACGCCCCCGTGGAGGGGAGAGTTGACATTCTCGTGCTTTAATCGTCTGCTGGTCCATAATACTTGATGCTTCCGTCGGCCGCCCCCGTGGCGAGCCATGGCTTGACTGGATGGAACGCGATCGCCGTGACGACGTCGGTGTGGCCATGAAGCTTGTCCAGTGTGCGCCCCGTGCGAAGGTCGTACAAGTGGGTGACTTTGGCTTCGGATCCTGCCGCTACATACCGCAGGCATGGACTGAACGCAGCCCCCACAGCATGCACGCGGTTGGTGTGTTCGCCAAAACGCAGCACGCAGTTGTCGGCGCGAACGTCCCACAAATGCATCGCGTTGTCGCACGCTGCCGAGAGCACCAAGTTGTACACGTCCGGCGAATGCGCCACGTACGGCGACGCCTGGGGCACGACGACCTGCAAAACAACACACGTGCCATTCATCCTCTGTCGTCGCTCGCAACAGCGGAAACATTTGCTCGATTCGTCAAGTCCAAACCAGCGACGCACGGTCGATCCGGCGCCAGACGCCATCCACATTCCATCGCACACACTTGCAAACCAACCCTGGCTGTGTCGACGACACAGACTTACCGTGTGGGCAGCTCGAGTCGCATGCGCCGCGGGTATCACCCGCACGGTCTTGCTCACGGCGACGTCAACGACCCGAACGCTCTTGTCCGATGCGGCGGCCACGAGCAAGTGCGACAAACTCGAGTTGGCGCAAGCGATCGACGTGACAGCTTTGATCGAGTCCAAGTTGTACGCGGCGACAACTTTTGCCTTGCTGTGGTTTTCCAACCGAGCGACGTCCGTTGTCTTGACGTGGTGGACGTGCCTGTCGTCGACAACGTACTGAAAGATCTTGATCTTGTTGGCCATCGCGACCACAACAAACTTGTCCATGTAGTAGAACGCGGCATCGGTGATGTCAAGACCAGGAGCACGCGAGGACGCAGCGGCCGAGGGGATTGTGAGCGATGCGGCGTCGCTCGGAACGCCCCATATACGAGCTGTCCTGTCCGCCGACGTGGTGAGCAGGTATCGACCAGAGTGGCTCCACCGCACGGTGCGAACGTAGTGCTCGTGGCCCATGAGTACGATCGGTTGGCCAGTTGGCGTTGGTTTGAACGGCTTGGACGATTTCGAAAACGTGACTTGGGCGAGCCGGTCGTTCCCGGCCGACGCAAACCCAGCGCCGTCGGCGGAGTACTCGATGCGGTTGACACACCCTCTGTGCCATTTGAGTTTGGTCTTGGTGGGGTCGAGTCGAGACACTCGATTGCAAGCTATGGGGTACGATGGAAGGAGCGGTGGCGGCGAAATGGGCGAGTCGTCGTTGAGCTGGTTGGTCGATTGCGACGATGGGGGGCGGGTTTTGAGTCGTTGAAACTTTAACGACGCCGACGGCTTCTTCTTTGAGTCTGTCGGCCCATACCCGCTCGACTTGATTCGGGTGTGAAATGTTACGGGTTGGTCGCGCTTCGAGCTTTTTGACGGTGGCGCGACATCTTGGAGCTGTAGCGGTGACAGACACAGGATCGACGTGGGAGGCGGTGCGGACTGCGGCACCATGGACAAAGTTGTTCGGCCGTCCCCTGCCTCAGCGCTCGTCGCCCCGTTGGCTAACTCATCCACCGCCGGCACCAGGGGACCCCGCGATAGCTGCGCTTGTAGTCGCGTCACACACGGTTGAAATGCACTTGCAATCCAAATATCGACGACCCCTGGACGCTCTTCATGCCCCCGTTGGTCCTTGAGCACGTTTGCCATGGCTGTGTGTGATGCGACTCCAACAACGACGGGGTGCTCGGCTTGGAACGAGTGAACGACAGACATCTCGTACGACAGTGCGTCGACCGCCACGAGGTGGTTTGTCGTGCCGATCATGAGAACTGGCCGCATCGAAGGCAGTAGAGCTGTCTCTGGCGACACTTCGGACGGCGCGACTACATAATGCATGCCTAAAATCGTGCATGGCACTTCAACCATGTGCCCGTCAGGGTCGAGTTCGGCCTGCAACGCCGCCAACGTCAAGTTGGCCGTTGTTGTGGTGCACGAGCTGCTCAGCGCCGAGTTGGTCTGGGCCAGCAACGTCCGCGCCGCCGCGCTCGTGGTAGCGTTCTGGCTGCGAGCCCATGGCGGCAACGAGCTTACGACGTTTTGAGTGGTGGCGAGCGTTTGGTTGACAAGTGCAGTGATCTACCGAGGTGGATAAGAGGACTTGGTCTGTGGAGCATGGTGCACCTGGTGGTGTTTGTCGAGTTTGGATATCGTCGCGCCGACTGCGAGCGATACCAATTCGGTCGAATACTGGTGAAAGATGCGCACGGTGCCGTCAGCAAACCCGACGCAAATGTCGCTCGTGAGAGGATTGACGGCCAGCGCGAGGATGGAATGCGCAGACAACACGGCTGACTGATACCGAAGGGATTGATCCGCGAGGTCCCACACCTAGAGCACCACCAAACCTGAGGTGATGGCAGAGGAATCTGGCCGCGACCGACTTTGAATGTGCGATCCTCGGAGGCCGTGATGAGCACATGTGGCTGTAGGGAATCGAATCGAATGGCCGTGATCTAGACATGCATCATTCGATGTGCCGCCATCCACAGCTCGAGATCACGTGCCTTGGCGAGATGCCCTTCCAGCGTCACGAAGACTTCCTTCAACTGCACCGTCACGATTTCGACCTGGGTGTGGTACGCCAGTGCCACAAGTCCCCCGCTTGCATCGAACTCGATCGCTGTCACAAGGCACCGCGGGGACGGCACCAACATGTACCGAGTCACGGAAAACTTGTCGTCAACCACGGATATGCGCCACACCAAGATGCTGCAGCAACATGTCAGGTTATATCTACGAAGTCTTCGACGCACCAGTCAGAAGACACAGTGCACAGGACGTCCCCTTGAAAAGCAGCACACACAATGCGCTCTGCATGCCCAGTCAGTTCTTGACTCGTGTGCGGAGTGAATGCAAAAGCGGTTGTCGGCTTCTCCGATGACCGCCATAGCTTGAGTACGACGCAGTCCGTGTATTCGAGCGCGACACAAACGTAGCGCGGGGACGAAGTGATGCACGTAATGGTCGCATTGGGCCGCCACTGCTCCCACACGTCGGCGACAAGCGCCATGTTCAAAATTGTGCCTTTTCACATTGCCACACTATTTGGCCCCCAATTTGGGCAGAAAAGTGTCAATTTCAACGGCAGGTGGAAAATATGCATATAAAATATCGTGTTTTTGGATCGAATTTGTATGAATTATTAGCCGCCTTCAAAATTGAATATTCTAAAAACACACCAGTGTATTCAATTCCGCAGAACTGGCTACGTCACAACGTTTCCAAGCCCCGCTGCCGCCTGCCGATGGACTCAAGCACCCGAGCGCTGCTCCAGACTGTGACGCAGTACTGGAAGGGTTTCGACCTGGATAGCAAGCGTGTCATGTTAGATGCGCAAGGCGTGTCGATGCAAGAGCAGAAGGAACATAGCGTAAAATCCCGAAAAACGCTCGCAGAACATACCAAGAGATTCCGAAAGCTTGCCGACGCCGACAAGGTCGCAGCGATACCGTCGCTCCTCAAGGCGTACCAAGAAGAAATCGACACACTGACCAAGCGCGCTAAGTACAGCGACAACGCGTTCTTTGCCCTGTACAAGGTATTGTACGAAGCACCGGACCCCGTTCCCGCGCTGGACGCCGCACTTCTCCTCGACTCGTCGATTCCGGCCGCTGTTCCCTCCACGTCGTCATCGGATAAAGTCGCGTCCACCGACCTCGTAGCAAAATTGCGTCGCGAACTGGCATCGTACGAAGCGGAATTTGCATCGCTGAAGAACCAAGACATCACGATCCGAAACCTCGAGGCCAAGTTGGCTGCTATGGAGGACAATATGGAGCGACAAGTGGAAATTAAAGTCCAAGCTCGATGCCGCGACGTTGAGAACACACTGCGAGCCCGCGAAGGTACCGACACCACAGCATCGCAGATGCATTAAACTTGAGGTAGCGGACTTGGCACTCTATCAGCAACAAGCAGACAGAACCGTCATGCAAGCCCGAGAAGCTCGCGACGATGCCCTGGCGCAGCTTGACCTCATGCGTTCCGAGTTATTGCACGTCAAGCAGCAAGCCGACCACGTCTTGGCGACTCAGTCAAGTGAGACACAGAGTCTGCTCAATGACCTCAATCGGTGCCATGGCATTGAGCTGGAGAACCAGCGCCTTCGAGATCAGTTGCGAAGTTTGAGCTCTTCGGATTTTGCCGCATCACAGTCGTTCCAGCACCATTCCGTATGCCTTCTACGAGAAAAGCTATATTGACGACGATGTGGCTGTAGGCAGCAGTGCCCTCGATGCAATTGGAACTCGAAATCGCGCAGAAGGAAGCCGCGCTCGCCCAGACCCGACGTGATGTCGAACGACTACAAGAGGCGTTGACTGGTCAAACAAACTTGTGGAAAGCTGAAGTCGCCGCGCTCCAAGCACAAGTCGACGAACTCAGCCAGCGACCGACAGTGGAAGCGTACGAGGCGGCCGTCGCACTTCAGGCAAAGCCCACCGTCCATAACCAGTCGTCGAGTTCGCGGTATGCACAGCAATCCCACCAGCAACAAGTGGCTGGCTTGGCCGCGGCGGAATTGCCTTCGATCGACAATTTAAAAGTGATCGAGGAGTTGCAAACCCAGGTGACGTCGCAGCGCCAAACCTACGAGGCGACCGTACGACAACTGACGACTCAACTGGATGCTGCGAATGGCACAGTCCAGCGCCAGGCGGGTGTGATCTCCCAGCTCGAAGCAACTCTCGACAAGGCCGCGACTGATCCTGCGGGATCGTCTATTTTGGGCGATGTATTGGGCGAAGAGGTATTTAGCAACGGCGACAAGGAATCCAAGTTGCTCTCCATCATGCGGCAGCAACGAGATCGACTCAAGGAAAAATTGAAAGACGTCGAGGCCGACTTGCATGCGACTGGAGCCGCCAAGCAAGCGATGGCGACCCGCCTGCGCCAGTTGGAAGTCGAAAACGTGGATCTCGTCCAAAAGATGCGGTATGTCGCAAGCGCAGCCAAACCCACGACCGACCTCGAAACTGGTGGGACCAAGTATTCCACGCTGTACGAAGAACGCATGAACCCGTTTGACCAGTTCAAGCAAATGGAGAGCGCTGCCCGCGTCGCGCAACTCAATCCCCTGGACAAGATCTTGCTCGTGAGCGCGCGGTTGATTCTCAGCCATCCATTCACGCGCATGGGACTACTCGTTTACCTCTTTGTCCTCCACTCCCTCGTCGTCGGCACGCTGACCATGTCGATGCATTTGTGTAATGTGAGCAATCACACGTGATTTGATTGGTTGGATTTTGAAACGAACATGGTTTTGATTGGTTAAGGTAGGATTGTCAAGGTCCAATTGGCCCACGACCTTTGGGCATACAATGAGAAAGGCTGGTGACTCGAACAACTGGCTTGCCCATCTCCAAACGAGCCAGCACACGTCAACGCGATCGACACGCGGTCTCAACGACGCGAGTCGACGTGGGCCCACCCCGCAAGTGTCGGTGCACGTCATCTCGATGACGTCGTCAGTCTCCTCACTGGCACGACAGTGCGTGTCTAATGGAATGTTCTTCGAACGGCTGACGTTCCTCTACTACCAGACGAGTCGAATCGATACAATCAAATGTCCCGCTCACGTCGAGCGGGTTCGTTGCGACCTCGCGATCATTTGTCGAGGGAACTCTCACGGGAATCCTGACGCGTGCCATTCCGCTGGTATTCACCTGGCCGCTAAGTCAAACTGAATGGAACGGCGTATGGGGTCACCTATGCCGATGGGACTTGTCGATTGTGAATTGGTATAGCTCGTGATCGCGGGCGACTGGATGTTCTCTGAATGCGTCCCCGTCGCCCAAGTAGGCATCTAAGCCTTGTCTGTGTCCCCCCCCTAAGCAGTTGGCATGTATCTGTTGAGCTCCTACTCCGGCATGGTTGAGACCGCGACTATGAAGCGGCCTCTAACGGACGGCACCATGGCGACAGAATTTGGTCCGATGGCCAAGAGGAGGAGAGTTCAATTTCCGGCGGACCGGCGTCTGGCACGGCATACCTCATGGAAAAGACCTCAGTTGTAGAGTACATCGGCATTTCGATCACCCACTCGACGCAAAGCGGGGTGGGTGGAGCATCGAGAAGCGCAATCGATTTTTTGGGGGACTCTAGCTTGGAATACGCAGCATACACGGGTCAACTACCATGCACACTTAGTCCTTTTAAACACATTTGCCACCTGTGCACTCTATCGACGAGAACTTTGCCACGTAGGGACTACCGAACCTGTTGTACAACCGACTCGTCCTCACGTATACGATATTTTTGCCGGCCTGGTGCATCGGAAGCTCCTGCTCGTGTGTCTAGGGTGGACCTTGTTGTTCTCGGCCGTTTAAGTCGACGTACTGCACACTACACCCACCGCCTGGGTCGGACGGTCCGTGTCTACTGCCACACATCATGGTCGCCAACTTGTTTGCGTCAAGATGGATAGTTGAGCTAAAGTGTGTTCTGTACCTTCCGTGCCGAGCCAAGTGGCACCACAGTCAACTGACGCACTTGGCGCCAGTGTTTGTCGTCTGCACCAAATTGATCGTGTTCTTGTCCTTGGAAACCACAAGAATCGACGACGAACTTCAAGCTTCTTGCACGTGGCCGTGTCATGGGCCATCTCAATAATCTGCGCGCTCCAAACAGCTGCAACAGTCGCCTCGACACGGAGTGGGCCGCACACACAACTCGTTTGTGCAGTTCGCTGGAGTGTTGCGCTGGGTCGTGTGCTTGAACCTGGGCACGCGCCATACGTTTCGATTGGGATGACGAACGGCATGCCGAGTTCCGTGGTTCTGTTGGGATTCACGCACGTCCACTACGCCAACGTGAAATCCATCTCCGGACGACGGCAATCCAATCCTCGGCATGTACAACCTTGCTCGTAGTTTTGTGCTGAAACGACGCCGGCGACCCCATGTGCACGGCACCGTCGAACACTTGCCAGCAAATGGCGCTGCCACGTTGGACAGCAAGTCGTTCAAATGTGTGTACAATTTGATTGGTTGAAATATCAGGGTGAAGAAAACATAAGCCAATCGAAATCCTGTACGTTTGAAAACTAGCCAATGAAACGTGGTGCATCACGTGAAAACGGCACAGTGTATTGGAAAGTATACAAGGGGAAAGTCGATGCCTAGAACGCCAGGATGTTCTGGTTGTTGCAATTGTCTTCGGTGTAGCCCTTGAAGCACGAGCAGATGCCCGTGTCTCGGGAGCACATGCCGCGTCCGGAGCACTCGGAAACGTACTCGAAGAAGCCCGTGGCAGGACTCGGCATCGACACGATGAAGAGGCCGTCCGTGGATGAAGCAACGGCTGTACCATCGGCAGCTTTTCCGTTGAATTTTCGATCCACCGTGACGGTCTTGGGGGTTGTCGTCAGCGACATGGATCGGACAAAGTAGTACACGTTCTGGTAGAAGATCTTGCTGCCCACGACCAGCGACGTCGGGTCCACATCGATTTCAAACGTGTCGGAGCCGACCGCCCACGCAACAATTTTGGAAGTGGCATCCGCGGCAACAGTGAGCGACGGCGAGTAAAAGATGGTCGAGTAGTCGGCAAATGTTGGACCGGTGTACGGCCAAACGACCGTGATCGACGCAGTCGTTTGCACCGACGCGACGAGGAAGTGGCGGTCACGGATCTTAATGATCGAGTTGGCGGCGATCGGGGCGACGGTTGATGGGGTCGTGGTAGGGTCGGCAGGTTTGATCGAGAACACGGTTGTCGACGCCGTCGTGCCGTCGAATGCAAAGACAGACTGGGTCGTGATCCATTCCCTGTTTTCGCCGCGGCGGTCGCCAGCTGCAACAAACGCGCGCGTTCCTGTCGTCTGGACAACATTGCCTGTGATGGCAAAGCGGGATTCCGCCACTTCTGGCAAGCGCATGCGGCCAGGGTTGTCCACGTATTGGCACACAATGACTGTGCCTTCTTCGCTCGCGACAGCATCTGTCATCACGCCTTGACCAACCGTCCCAGCCACGCCCGCAGAGTCGCAATCAATCGCGGAAAAGACCGCGTTCGGGATATCCAGGAACGCCTTTTCCACCGCCGCGACGGCCTTGGCAACGTCTGCAGTGGCGTAGATCGGGATGCGGTCGGTGATATACCCCGCGCCGTACGAGTCAAACACACGAAGGCGATACCTACATTCGTCGTGATCACGTCAGCCCGTCATGGTAGTTCGCAACCGTTGTAAATAGAGTCGTACCAAGAATTGGCGGAGTCCAGGTGAGTCGACGCGGGCACAATCCCAGTGTAAATGATGAACGTTTCCAGGACGGGGAACCCAGCTGCCATGTAGAGCGGATCGACGCCGAGTTTGCACGCGCGGCGCGAGCAGTCAGCGCCGGTGAACCACGGGTCGCACACGCATGCGTGCCCGACGTTGGCGTCCCATAAGTTGTACTTGGTGGCGACTTTGTCGTGGGGATTTCCCGTCAACTTTCCCTTGGCGTCGGCCGAGGCGGCAATTTCCGACAGCGACTTACACACGCCGCGGCCGTTGCAGTTATTCGCACACTGCGCGCGCTGGCACGCCGACCCTTCAAATCCGGGAAAGCAGCCGCAAATGCCGGTCGAGCGATCGCAAATCCCCATGTTGGAGCACTCCATGTAAAAGTGCGCTTCATTCGTCTTGGCATCCGGGTTAAACCACTCGTACGTTTTGTACGGGTACACTTGGGACTGATCCAAGATCCACCCGGCCGTCTTTTGGTTGCGATCCATGTCCAAGTCGCCTTTGGGCGTGTCGACGTGGGCAAACCCAAACGGGCACACGCGCTGGGCGCAGTCGTTGCCGGCGTAGTTCTTGAAACAGTAGCACATATCGCGGGGACCGCACACACCATTGCCAGAGCACCCGCCGGGGCATTCGGCTGACGCGAGCCCGACCAGAGCTGCAAGGCCAACGAGAAACGATGTGGGTTTCATTCGAAATGGGGAAATGAACCGACCGACCGCGGCCCCTCAACCCGTCGTCCTCCGTTCTGATTGGCCCGCGAACCGTCGCGTCGCTGTGTTCGTTTAAAAAGATCGAAAAAATGAAGGGGCGGTAGGGCCGTTTTATTCATGCTGGTGGTGCGCTAAATGTTTACCGCACGTCCGTTACACGTTTAAACGAGTGCGCCATTCAGACTAGCAGACCATCGAACTTGACGGCAAGTTGCGACAATGCCCCGTTTTCAGGTGTGGTATCACTGAGGTGGGTGGAATGGGGCCCGACGGCCGTCGATACCAATAACATCAACACGTGGAAGTGCTCTGCTTGCTGTGGGGTGCAGGGTGAGGCGCGTTCGATGTGCAAGGAAAATATACGTTTTTTATATACAGTTAGTTTAAGCTGTCGCTGAGCTTTGGAATCCCAGATCTATAAATAACTAATTAGAGTTAAATCCCAGTATTAAGATATACAGGGGATCTTAGCTCTGTGCGTGAGTTGCATTTATTTGTTTAAACAATATATTGAATATGACAGAATCCGCTAACAGTCCTTCGAATTCGTGGAGCGCTTCTGCCGATCGCCACGCCCATCGCGCGTCAAGAATCACAGCATGTCCAAAGCATTTCCATGGGCGAGGACAGCGCAACTGACGCTGGGATGGCTTCCAGTAGGGGTCGCGTTTAACTCGCTCGTGTTGAGTTGGGGTCGTGTAGAAGGCAAGTCGATGCAACCAACGCTGAACCGCGAGGATGCTGCATCCGGGGATGTCGTACTGCTCGACAAGTTTTCCGTTCAAATACTGCATCGTTTGGTCCGTGGTGACGTTGTTGTGCTCAAGTCCCCGACAAACCCCGGAGAAAACCTGACGAAGCGCCTGATTGCGCTGGAAGGTGACTGGGTTGAAGGGCGGTACGGACGCCGTGTGGTCGTGCCTCCTGGCAAGTGCTGGGTCGAAGGGGACAACGAAGACGTGAGCGAAGACAGCAACGAGTTTGGCACCGTGCCCATGGCCCTCATTGAATCCCGTGTCGTCGCCATCGTTTGGCCACCGAAGCACTTCTCAATCGTGCCGAACGCGTTGCCGGCAAACCGAGTGCTGTAGCCACTACGAACGACGCCATGTCCCATACGTTAGATATAGAGCAACTGTCACACAAGCCCACTAACACAACTTTCCTCGACTCGTGAACGCGACTGGAATTGAAATGAACTTGTTGCCCAGAACAGACCAAAATGTTCATGCCCGAAGCATGTTTGTCGTCAAGGCAACGAGGACTCCATTTGATGAATAATACATATTGAGTCAATAAGTTAAAGGAGTCGGCGGCGGCGTGGCAAGCCTACACCACGGCAAGAGTCGTCGAAGGCATCGGGAGAGCCTTCCCAAGAATCGCAGACGTCGAGGTGGGGGTGTCTGCCTGTGACGTTGACGTTTGCGTTGCGCATGACGCACTCTTTTGATCATCCTCCTGGAGCTTGTCCAAGACGTGTGCAATAATCGCAGCGTCGGACGCGAGCTCGCGATAGGGGTTGAATGCACGGATCGCGAGGGCAAGTACAAGTACGATGAGCCCCAACACCATACCGCTCCCAAAGTACGGTGAAATCGCCGCCACAATACCTCGATTTTCATGTGCCGTCAAGCCAATTTCACCAGCGTCACCCTGGAGCGACGCAACCACGACCCGGTCCTTAACTGCCGTCGGCACTTCCTGGAGGAGTTGCATGAGCTTGTCCTTATCGACACGGATAAATACGGGTCGAGCATCTTGAATTGCGCGGTCCTGCTCCGCCGTTGACGGGAGGCGTGCCAGGTTCGCAAGAAGGGTGGTAACCCGCTCGATGTCGTTTGAGGGAGCAGTGGTGGCCGACATTTCAAGTGCGCGCAGAGCAGGCGGTGGCGCGTGAACATCCACTTCCATGGCCATTGCCGCGCATAATGCAACGAACGCAACGTATACACGCATGAGCATCGAGACAATGCCGGCGGTGAGATAAGGAATGACACCGACATGCCTCCAGCTCACGCGAAAACTTCCAGTTATGAGACACCGGATGGAAGTTTTTTACCAATGAGATATCGGGAGAGACGTGTGCAACGTCGAATTTTAGCCAATCAAAATGATAAATCAATGTGTACGAAATATTTCCATGCTCTATTGAAATTTTGACTATTTCAGGCAATCGTGGTTTCGTTTGTCGAGCTGGCGGCGGTTTACCACGGGAGCCGCCTGATGGAGCTCGAGATCATGCAAAAGGGACCTTTCAACTTTCTGTTCTAAAGTGTTTGAACACGAGAGCAGCAACGCGTCAGTGGTCGTAAAGATACTGCCCAACGGTTTTCCGAACCGATCACTCTTTTCCCGATTGATACGGCGGCAGCAAAATATTGCCATGACGCACCTACATATGTTGGATTCTACCTCCACCTGAACAATGTCGACAGTATCCGTAAAGATTTAT